CACTACGTGGAGGGTTCCCCCCCCCCCCTTTTCATTGGTCCATAGGCTCCAATCCCCACTGGCCTTTGCAGGCTCCAATGCAATCACAAAAAGCAGGAGCTATTCACGTGTTTTGCAAGGTTTAGGCTCCAGCGCAATAAACAAGCACAGTAATGATGGTAAGTAAATAAAAAGAGGTCAGGCTCCATTCATCACATCTGGCAGGCAGGATGTGGCCCCTGCCCTTTGCCCATTGACACACTTCAAAGAGGGGTTAAACTTCTATGTGAGCATGTGAGTTTCCTTTCAAAAATCGGAAATGATGCCTGTAGGCTACATCGAGACTGGCATGATTTTCCGGAAATACTTTTAACAGAAAAATTTTCCCTTAAAAGCGTTTTCGGAAAAGAGCCTCCAGATTGGCAGAAAATCTAGACGCGCTTTTCTGCAAAAAAGCCCCGATCGCCATTTTCGCCATTGGGGCTTTTTTGCGGAAAACAAATCTGAGCTGTCTACACTGGCCCTTTTGCGCAAAAGTTTTGCGCAGAAGGACTTTTGCCCGAACGGGAGCAGCATAGTATTTCCGCAAGAACACTGACAATCTTACATGAGATCGTCAGTGTTCTTGCGGAAATTCAAGCGGCCAGTGTAGACAGCTGGCAAGTTTTTCCGGAAAAGTGGCTGATTTTCCGGAAAAACTGGCCAGTCTAGACACACCTCTGCTGTGTACATGCAGAGGCACAATTCCTCCAATTCCACAGCCTCTATATATCCCAGCCACGGAGCCCATCGATCCCCCTAAAACCATTGGACATGGAGAAGAGACACACAAGGGAGCATGTGAAAACAGGAAAGTTTAGGCTGAACATCAGGGGAACTTTCTAAGGGTTTGTCAGTACCTTAAACGAGCTTTGCTGCTATAAACTTGCATACAATATTAACTGTCCAGTCAGAGCCCAGCCTGCATTGGGCTAGGTTCTGTACAGACAACAAAGGTTCTTTCGGGCTAGCAGCCATCCTATGTAGTGAAGTGCTCCCAGCTTCTCCCACAAGTTGGTGGTGGGGGAGGAAAGGAGGGTGGGTTTTTTTAACCCACACAACTACAGGAATCCGGGCAAGGCTACAGCAAGAAAGAGCCCTCATGGTAGGTTTTCTCCTCATCTTATCAAAATTCACAAGCTGAAAAAGGGAAACCGAGCTATCTTCCTCTAACAAAATATTACCAAATCCCTCTCCCCATTGACCTGCCACTGTGTTTGCTGACACAACAGTGCAAGGTCCAAATGCCCCTTCTGCTTTTCATGTAGTGCCTTCCTTATCAGCACAGCATTTAGGCTTGTAGACTCGTGTTCTGGGGCCAGTTTGGATAGATCTGACACTCAGGTCAGGAAACTCAGAGGCTACACAGAAAACTGAAGTTTTACAAAGTTTGATCTGGAACAAAAGTTCTGACCCTGGTCTAGCAGAGTCAATTTCTGCAGATTCTGACCCAGAAGGAAAAGTATTTTTTAAAAATAATTTTAAGACACAACCCCCTAAGTCAATGTAGTTGATGGTGGCAGCATACACAAACAAACCTTTGTGCTGCAATTATAACCACATTGGAAAAGGCAGCAGAGTGGCCCTGCTCCTAAATGAACAGTGCCAGGTATCCCAGTTCAACTGTTCAGTCACTAATTAAAGTCCATCTGTACTGCACAAGATGACCAATTTGGCTGGCACTATGGATTGCCACAAAGACAGGTTTCACTATTCTCTGCAGCGCAGAAAGGATTTACAAGGACTTCCATCTCCCCCAGCTTAGCTTACATCAAATCAATTGAAAGTCAAAGTCGGGTCCATATCAATGATATTGGAGGGAACATTCTGATGGACAGCAATAAAACTGCAGAAAACAATCTAGAATATAGAATTCACTGTAAATCTGTTTATTTATTCCTTACATCAAGGTAACAATGTCCCACAATTAGTCTCCCAATTAAATACATAAAACACCTGCTTCATCTATAAAAGGTCAGTTAACGCTCTTAAAAAATTCAAGACACTTTCCTTCTGTAGACGAATGTCCAGTGGAAGATACATGGGGCCAGCTATTCTCCCGTTTACTTCCACATGCATCTAGAATGATTCCATTCACTTCAGTCAAGTCATTACAAGTGTAAATCTAGAGCAACAGTGCAGAATTTGGCCCCCAAGTCTGTATACATTTTGTTGGTCTCCACAGGGATATTTTAAATGGTTAATTCATGAGGCCTCAACAGATTACAAAGATTGACATAAAATGTCACTGCTGTTATGGGACTAAATTAGTGTGAAAAGTTTAATTGTTACGGGTACATCTACATTGCGGGCAAAAGTCAGATGAAGATGCGCAACTTCAGCTACGTTAATTGCATAGATAAAGTCGAAATAGCTTAATTCAGCTTTAGGCTCTGTCTACACAGCAGGGAATCGAAGGAAGAACACTCCTCCTTTGACTTCCCTTATTCCTCCTTAAATTAGGGTTACAGAAATTGGAGTAAGAAGCCCGTTATTTCGAAATGATTTTGGTTAGGGTTACAGAAATTGGAGTAAGAAGGCCGTTATTTCGAAATGATTTTGGAACAACAGGCTTGCTGTGTAGACACGCACTTTGTTATTTCAAAATAACGCTGCAGTAGACACAGCCTATGTGACCTGCTTTTAATTTAGAGATTAGAGGGGGTCATAAATATGTAACAGATTCAGATCCAATCTACACTACAGTTATGGTCAACGTAAGGCACCTTACGTTAGCTCAGCATGTACACCAGGATGCTCTTCTGCCAAAGTAAGTGGCAATCTACACCAACATAACTCCACCTCCTTGAAAGGTGTAGCGCATATGTCAATATAGATGCAGTAGACATTGTGTTACTTATGTTGCCGGTAGGGCGTGAGCCCATGCCCGGCTGACAACTCTGGCTGCTAGTTGGGGAGAAGGTGGGAAGCAGGTATGGATCCCAGGCCTACTGGGCTCCAGCTGTCCGTGTCCCCCAGTGCCCCACTTCAGGCAGTGGAAGTGGTCTCGGTGAGTACATGCACCACTGACAGAAGGAGCAAGTGTAGACATGAACCGCCACTTTAATTACTGAAGTGGCTGTGTGTCAACTTTACATTCATTTTCTAGCGTAGACGTGCCCTCTAGCTACTTGCAAAGCTCCCAAGATGAGCTGTGCAAGACACCAAGCATTAGCCTGCATTCATTTCCACCAACTGAGCTAACAACTGCTTCTCAGCCACCCACAATCAATGACTTGACCAAATCACATTATTACATTTGCATTTTCAACTTGCTTGTAACCTCAAAGCATGTTTTACCTACAGAGTACCCTGTGGTCTGGAAGCAAGACGGTGCTGGTCCCCTCTATCTACTTTCTTACATGCCATGCCACTGAAGTAGAACCTCAGAGTTATGAGCACCTCAGGAACGGAGGTTCGTAACTCTGAAATATTCGTTAACGGTAAGAACAAAACTTTATGGTTCTTCTTTCAAAAGTTCACAGCTGGCTATTGATTTAATACAGATTTGAAACTTTCCTGTGCAGAAGAAAAATGCTGCTTTTAGGCATTTAAATGAAACACACAGAAAGTTCTCTCACCTGGTCAAATCAATGTGTTGTATCAGGGATTTCCTGGTTTGTTTTGTCTCTGCTACTGCCTGATTGTATATTTCCAGTTCCAGATTAGGGTGATCAGTCAGTTCATAACTCTGAGATTCTACTTTATTGTATTATCTACCTCCTAGGGTCACTCTAAGGCCTTGCCTACACATGAAAGTTTTACACAAGTCTAACTCCCAGTGTGGACACACATACTAAAATAAGCAACTGGGTAAGAAACTTTGTAGACTGGAGGGAGCAGTAGATAGCTTGACTGTAGCAAGGCATTTGATACAGTATGAATTACTTTCTCAGAACAAACTAGGGAAATGCAGCCTAGATGGTGCTACTATAAGAATGGTGCAAAACTGGTTGGAAAACCCTTCTCAGAGAGTAGTTATCAATACTTCAGTCATCCTGGAAGGGCATAACAAGCAGGGTCCTGCTGGGATCAGTTCTGGGTCCGGTTCTGTTCAATATCTGCATCAATAATTTAGATAACGGCCTAGAGAGCACACATTTATATATGGAGATATACCTATCTCACAGAACTGGAAGGGACCTTGAGAGGTCATCGAGTCCAGTCACCTGCCCTCACGGCAGGACCAAGTACCATTTATAAAGTCTGATGACAATACCAAGCTGGGAGGAGTTGCAAGTGCTTCAGAGGATAGAGTTAAAATTCAAAATTATCTGGACAAACTAATGAAGGGGTTTGAGGTAAATAAAATGAAATTCAGTAAGAAGAAATGCAAAGTGCTCCACTTAGGAAGAAACAACCAATCGCACACTACACAAAATGGGAAATGATTGCCTAGGGAAAAAAGTACTTCAGAAAGGGATCTAGGGGGTCACAGTGGATCACAAGCTAAATATGAGTCGGTGTGACACTTGCAAAAAAAAAAAGTGAACATAATTCTGAGTAATAGTAACAGGAGTGTTGTAAATAAAACAAGAAGGAATCCTCTCTATTCCACGCTGATTAGGCCTCAACTGGAGTACTATATCCAGTTCTGGGCACCGCATACCATGAAAGATTTGGACGAACAGGAAAAGTCCAAAGAATAGCAACAAAAATGATGAAAGGTCTAGAAAACATGAGCTATGAGAGAAGACTGAAACAACTGGGCCTGTTTTGTTTAGAAAGGAGGAGACTGAGGGTACATGTCTAGACTACAGAGTTTTTCCAGGATACCAGAGGTCTCCCAGAAAACCTCTGCTGCGTCCAAAGAACATGTCTACTTTTCCAAAACAAACAAACAAAAAATCGGAAAAGCTGACACTTTTTTTGGCATCCCTGTAAACCTCTTTGTACAAGGAAGAAGGGATGTTCCGAAAGAGGGGTTTTTTTTTCCAACATTTGGTCCCGTGTAGACGGGCCAAATGTTGGAAAAGACTCTTTCGGAAGAAAAACGGAAAAAGATACACAAATTTCAGTTCACAATTTGCATATCTTTTTCCGACTTTTCTTTGCAGTGTAGACACAGCCTGAAAGTGGACAGGATAACTGGTTAAGTAAAAGATTGTTACAAGAGGGAGAAAAAGTGTTCTCCTTGACCTCTGAGGATAAGCCAAGAAGCAATGGGCTTAAATTGCAGCAAGGAGATTTAGGATGGACATTAAGAAAAAAAAGCTTCCCAGCTGTCAGGGTGGTTAGACAGTGGAATAAGATTGCCTAAGGAGGTCAAAGAATCTCTGTCTCTGGAGATTTTTCATAGCAGGCTAGACAAAAAGCTGTCAGGGATGGTCTAGGATAATGCCTAGTCCTGCCACGAGAGCAGGGGATGGGACTAGATGACCCTTTGAGGTTCCTTCAGCTATGTCCATACTGCCAGGTTATTTTGAAAAAAGTTGTTTTGAAATAACTCCCAAAATAACTATTTCAAAATAAACTTATTCCTCCTCACAAGCAGGAGTTATTTCAAAATAACCAGCCCCCTATTTCAAAACAACAGGCTTGGTCGTGTGGACGTTCGCCTTGTTATTTCAAAATAAGGGGAGTTATTTTGAAATAACTCCCTAGTGTAGACATGTCCTTCCAGTCCTATGATTCTGTAAGTGGCTTTTTTCAGTTCAGCTTAAACAAACTTATCACTCGGAAAAGGGTTTGTTTAAAAGAAGGCACAGTCATACCAGAATTAGAATGTCCACAGAGAGAGTTATACTGGGATAACCAAAAGCGTAAATTCACACCTTCAGTTATACCAAACCAACACGCACGCAAGGACAAGGCCTTAGTCACGAGCCACAAAGACACTCAGCAGCAAAATTTTCAAGGGACTGGAATTACAACCCAACATTCCAAACAATTTCTTCCAACACCAGGCTGTCACGGACCGGAGGAAACATTTCTCCACTTACCCAGCTACTCTGACACTCTCCCTGACACTTAATGCTCTTTCCCACTGCTTAGCCACCTCGGAATCGCCTCAGATGTGGCTCTCAAAGCAGAAACATCACTGGGAGACTGCAGAAAGGGAACAGGGTATTGTATGGATTGCAGTATGCTCCTGTCTTCCTGCGGCCCTTTGCCTTTCTCTGACACCTCCACAGAGCTCACAGCACTTCTCAGATATTAATGAGGCCTTATCGCTCCTATGTGAGGTTGGTAAATATCAACCCCCTTTCCCCCCCATTTTACAGTTGAGGAAATTGAAGCACAGAGAAATTAGGTATTTGTCCATGGTCACAGCTGGGTAAAGAACCTGGTTGTGCTGACTGCTTGCCCCCTACTATACACAACGGATAAGGACTGTCCAAGGCACATCGCTCTCAGAAGGAACACAATCAATCTTCAATTGATCAAGCATTTGGATTGGCTAAGATCACACTGTGCTCAGCTCTTTGCAGCTCCTCTGCCAACCAAAGAACAAACAGCAGCTGGGAAAAAGAAAAGAAAAAAAAAAAGGGAAGACAAAAATGACTGTAGCGTAAGAGCCTCACAGCAAGGCTGGAGGACAGCGAGAGGAGACATAACTGAGGAGCGACAGTCCTGCCAACAGCCTGATCCAGATGAAAACCGGCAACAGAGAGAAAGGAACACCAAGCCACACTTAAACTTGGAAACACATGCTGGGAAAAAAAAGGAGTCATCATAATGTATGTTGTATCTGGACATCCCCAGTATCCCATTAATTCTCCGTGTAAATAAATCCCTAACAAACAATTGGCTGTCAGGCAGGTTAAAATATATCTTCGAAAACTGTTAAATATAGAGAGATTTTATTGCCTAAAACCAATATATTAAGTCACTTCTTTAAGAGAGATAAATGGATGGGGTTGTCTTGGGGCTGGAGAGATGCATGGTTGTTGGAATCCCACCATTGAGAAGTTGGAGAGGGAGAGATATCCGTCACCCCCCGTCACAACACGGAACTGCTACAATGCCCCCAATGCAACCTGTAAACCCCAGCGCTACCCAGAAGGAATGCATTGCTTGCTGACCCCTCTCCTACAGACATAATTGTCAGTCACGTCTGCATCGTGCACGCGAGTTGTACGGCGCAACAGTCGCCCGTACGGCCTTTCTTCACATAACTCCATTTGGTCCGTTTCAACTCACCAGGCCACGCAGATGAGCAGCCCCACAGGGCTCCCACCGCTGTTCTAGCACTTTCTTCCCCCTCCCCGCCTTCGTCTGTTCTTGCTAAAGGGGAAACCATAACAAAAAATGGAAGGTCTGCCGAGGCCCTTCTCTGGAGTTCTGGAACAGCAACAAAGTCTGAGGACAAGGCAGCAAAGAAACGCAGAAGGCCTCTCGGAAGGGAATTTTGTTTTTCAAATGAAACACCCTATTCCGGCAGCTGAGCTTTCTTGCACTGCCTCTCCCCCTCCCCCGGTGAAATGCCTCCAATGGGATTTCTTAAAGGTCCACAGTCCATTTGTGCATCTACCAACTGACTCTACCATGTGGTAGAACAGGGCTTTCCTATGGGTTTGGCTGCAGCCATAGTGGGGAGTGGGAAGTTAGGGATCCGACACTGTGCAGCAGCTTTCCCCAACAGCTGTGTGATGGCTTCCATGTGCCTTTCCAGGAAACGGCCTGGGTGAACTCATCCTGTCGTCCTCGTGCTACAAGAGATCCGCGGCGTGGTTCCATGGCGCCATCCAGCTGCTCTAAGGATCCGTGTCGCCGCCAGCTTCTTCACAGTTTCCGTTAGGTGACATGCTCGTCAGGGCCACACCCTCATCGGGGTCCTGCAGGCCACCTGCGAGGAGAGGGACAGGCAGACAGAGCAAGGTCAGCAAGAAAGAGGCATACAGGAGACCCAGTTTCCAGCACTCATTTTATGCAAACGTTGATTAAAATTCTTATAATTAAAGATCAAGCAATAAATCCACCATAATTTAAGACTGTTTTAATAATCAGCTCCAACGTGATATCATAAACTGGACATTCAGGCAACGTACAGAATTTTAAACTAACACCAGAAGGTGGCTCACCTCACCAGCATGCGGGTAAGTGCTCTCGGTCCCAATCCTGGAATTGGATCCACACAGACAACCCCCATACCCATGCGATGCCTCATTGACTTTCACTAGAGTCCACACAGGCAGGAGGGTCCATCTGATTGAAACTAACGACCGGATTGGGGCCGTGAATATTTATTGGACCAGATGTTTTACAGGTTGAACCTCTCTAGTCCAGCACCCTGGGGACCTGACCGACACCGAACCAGAGAATTTGCTGAACTATGGGAGGTCAATATTGTCTAGCAGCATTACCAACCCTTCCACTGCTTACCGGGCTCTTAGGAGCTACAGAAGGGTAGCCAAGTTAGTCTGTAACTGGAAAAACAACAAATAGTCTAGCAGCACCATAAAGACCAACAAAACATGTAGTGGTATCATGAGCTTTTGTGAGTACAACCCACTTCTTCAGATGAAACTCTTAGGGCCCTTAGGAGACATTCCCCTTGCTCATTTCCAAACTGATCCACGCCCAATGGTGGAGGACACTCCATAGGGACGCCCCTCTCGTTATAATAATTCGTTATGTGTCAGTGGTACAAGTGAGGACTTCAGATGAAACAGGAGCCTATGTAGGCAAATCACTGACATGTTAAACTTTGGTACAAAAAGGGTATTTTCTTCTTTGAAAACTGTAGTGGTACAGGCTGAACCTCTCTGGTCCGGTAACATCAATGGTCCAACATGATTTTAGTTAGCCGATGTCCACTTATCACGGGTGTGGCCAAGTTTCCTGTGGTCCCATAAAGTTTGTTTACCGCCATCAGGTCTGGCTCTCAGGGTGTGTCTAAACTACATGGCTCCATCGATGGAGCCATGTAGTTTAGACACACCCTGAGAGCCAGACCTGATGGCGGTAAACAAACTTTATGGGACCACAGGAAACTTGGCCACACCCGTGATAAGTGGACATCGGCTAACTAAAATCATGTTGGACCATTGATGTTACCGGACCAGAGAGGTTCAGCCTGTACCACTACAGTTTTCAAAGAAGAAAATACCCTTTTTGTACCAAAGTTTAACATGTCAGTGATTTGCCTACATAGGCTCCTGTTTCATCTGAAGTCCTCACTTGTACCACTGACACATAACGAATTATTATAACGAGAGGGGCGTCCCTATGGAGTGTCCTCCACCATTGGGCGTGGATCAGTTTGGAAATGAGCAAGGGAAAAAACTGGCATCTTGTGAAAAAGGGGTACCATTCAGGACTCCTCCCGAACCAGTCTGTGGCTTCTGGCCAATGGTGCCCCTGCTGAAAGGGGATCGCTGCTGGGAAATGCAAGAATTGTGGAACAATACTTGACACTGCATTTCCAGAAACCCTCAAGAGGAATCTAGAGTCGGGCTCTAAGTCATTACTTAGAAACAGGGCTAAGTTGTGTCCAGCCTTGGCTAGACAGTAGCTTAGTTATACCAGCCAACTTTCCTAGTGGAGATGCAGCTTATACTGACAAGAGACTTCTTTATCCAACGCAGTTTACACCACTTCTGTGAACAAACTAATCTACACCAGCGAAAGGATCCCTTTGGCACTGTGCCTACCAACAGAGCGCCCTCCGCTACTGCAGTAAGGACCAGGGATGGGAGAGTAAGGAGTCAGGCGCACCAGCTGAACTAGTGTACACGAGCAGGAGAAAACTGGAACATTCCCGGTGGTGAGACAGCGAGAGGCAGAAGCAAGTGGATGCGAGCTCAGAAGAGTGCGTGGGCCAGGTGCAGGTAAAGCAGGTGTGGCAAAGCTCCGGCCATGCCCCACGAGCCCTGTGCTGCCAGGTGGTTGTTGTTTGCCCCCACACTGCTCTCCTCTTTTCTAGAGGCCAGGGTCACAGCTTCATGAGCCATCCTCATCAGTGGCAAAGTCCAAGGGTTGGCGGGGGGACCCCTCCGTATTCCTGGCCTCCCTTTCCAGGAACAGAGTTTTAGCGGCGTGGGGAGGGCTGGGGGAAACCTGGGCCCGCCCACTACTCCAGGATCCAGCCCAGAGAGCCACGGTAGCAGCAACTGTCAGTATTTTTTCCCTAGACCACTTCACCAGACACTTTCCTCGTACCGTCTCCCTGGTACCGGCAGTCCCCAGCCCCCCAGCCACACACGTCCTCCTCTCAGTCCTTCCCTTTTCTCCTTCCCCCACCCTTACGTGAGAGGAAACCTTTTAAAGTAGCACCACAGGCCTTACTTGGCTGCAAGTGCCTGATTAGCCTGCTGCTTGAGGCAAGCTCTTCATTAGCCTCAGGTGCCTGCCTGATTACGTGGCCACAGTCTCTGGCAGTTTCCCAGCCCCCCAGCCACACACGTCCTCCTCTCAGTCCTTCCCTTTTCTCCTTCCCCCACCCTTACGTGAGAGGAAACCTTTTAAAGTAGCACCACAGGCCTTACTTGGCTGCAAGTGCCTGATTAGCCTGCTGCTTGAGGCAAGCTCTTCATTAGCCTCAGGTGCCTGCCTGATTACGTGGCCACAGTCTCTGGCAGTTTATTCAGGCAATAGAACACCATTCACCCCACTCCCAGTATGTCTGCCCACCACTTAACTCCTGTAGCCAGCTCCCCTGGGTCTGTCACACAGCTGGTGCATGCAGGGGCGGCCCGTGAGCCTAGGCAGACTAGGCAGTTGCCTGGGGCCCGGCTGGCCCAGGCGCCTGATGATGTTGTCACGGGGCACCCCGTGATTACGCCACGGCCATTGACGGCCAAGCAGGCGGGGGCGCCAATCACGCCTTCTGCCGAGGGTGCCAGCTGCCGCAGCCGGCCTCAGGCCACTCCTGGGTGCATGCCTGGGTTCTGAGCTGGATTAGGTCATGGCCAGACAGCACTTTGCAGATGCCAATGGCTGTGCAACTGCTGTAGCGCAGTGAGCAATTTCTAATGGAAATATGTTCTGGCAAATGCATTGCTACTCCATTGCCACTTACAACCAATGCTGCCTGCAGGCTACTGCAGCAAGCACAGCTAGAGAAAGGGACTCAGTGGCGTGCTCCTAAAACACTGGGGAAAGACAACGCTAAAAGAAACATCCCAGTCAACATGCTATGGAGAGTGTCTCCCAGTCTTTGGATGTCGTGGGGCCAGCTGTGCCTATGGTGTTATATGTACTGCCACCGGAGCCAGAGATACATTCCAGGGGCAATAAGTACTGGTGCATCAGCCCATATAGACTGAAAAGATGATCTCTCTAAGGTCAGATCTTCACTACCGGGAAAAGTGTTGCTGTCGCAATTGATATTCTGTAGTTTGATTTAGCAGGTCTAGCAAAGACCTACTAAATCAAACTCAGAGGGCACCCCCATTGGTGCTGGCACTTCTGCTCCTGGAGAAGCTGGAGTTGCATATTTTAAGCTGACCTTCCAAGTCTGGTGCAGACCTGGCCTAAGGAAGCCAGCCACATTAAGCTTGGGAAGCAGAGCCTGCAAGGTTTTCACTCGAAAAAGACCATAGGCCAGACCTTGTGGCTTAGTGAGAGCTCTCTACGTCATCATAGGGGAGACTCGGATTCCAAGTCTTCTCCTGATCGATCACTCAGACTGGAAAGGCCTGGGAACACTGGGGGAAAAAAACATGGTTGCCGCATGTCATAAGATACACTGTCCTGGCTAGGAGCCAACTGCGGGACACATGGAGAACACCAGCACCTCGAGGGAGCTGAGCTTACCCTCATGAATGTTGTTGGCAGCTTTCGCCGAACTGCCTCTTCTCCGGCTCCTCCTGCCCCAGGGGATGCACTGCAGGATGGAGGGGAGTCTCCGCTTCTCTCGCTCCTCCCCACCTTGAAATACAAGGGCACAGGGAGATCATGGTGCTATCAGCAAGAAATGGGACTCTCTCATTCCTTGCTGGCATTATTCGGGGTCACTTTGGCTGTTCCCTGCTGGCAGACAGTGGTGCCTCTTGCTTCTCAGCCTTGGGGTGTAAGAAGTTTGGGCCTCTATGCAGAATTCCCCATAAGAAATCAATAAATGGCACCCGGAAATCCATTTCTCACCCAATGAGAATTCTTACCTCGTCTGGAAACATCCAAAGTAAGGTTTGCCCGCGTGCCTGCACTTTCTTGCTGCCAAGAGTATCCTTAATAGTTTTCACTGACAGTTGGGTTTGGATGGGTTTTGGGTTTGCTTCAGTGAGAGGACCATTGGCAGCCTCGGGAGACACAGCAAGGAAGCGGACATGGATTTGCTTGTGTACACACACACACACAAAAAAATTACTAGGGGCAGTTTTTACTACATTTAAAAGGCAAAGTCGCAGCGGGGTTAGCTCCCAGCCTCTGCAATTTCCCTCCTTATCAACTAATCAAGTAGTCAATGAAAATTCCATTGACTAAACGCAATGTAACATCCCTAACACACACACAGCAGCTGTGAGAACTAAAATGTAAAGGAAGAGAGAAGGCAGGCAGAAACCTCACATCCTGCAGCTGGGCCTCTGGCCGGTACACTTTTATTATTGCTTCCTATTAAACAAGTCGCTCTCCCCACTCCCAAGGAGATCTGTTGGGAGCAGAGAATTTTGCACTGTACTTAACAACGTCATAGAATCTGCATAACAAAAAGAATAGTGCAGCCTAAAGCGAGTGACTTGTAGATCTTGATCTATTACTGTAAGAGAATATCTACACAGCAGCATTATTCCATAGTGCACATCTACACTACAAGCCTTTATTTCGAAATAACATTGAGCTGTTGGATTTCTTACTCCGACTCCTATAACACCATTTCATGAGGAGTAAGGGAAGTCGGAGGAAGAGTGTTCTTCCTTCGACATCCTGCTGCATAGACAGCGCCAAAAGCCAAATTAAGCTATTTTGACTTCAGCTATGCAATTGATGACATTAGCCCTGCTGTGTAGCCGTACCCTAAAATACTAGGGTATTAGACAAGGGTAGTCTTAATCTCACACAGATTCATGTGACAAGCAGACTATTGCAACAATCAGGTAGCCTCAAATCCTAGGACATGCAATATCTTACCCGCCAATCAAACCTTATCTCCTGGCAACATATGTTATCAGCCACTTCAGTGGACACTCTCCTGACTAAGTCAATCTTATGCAACTTTAAACTACACAATGTGATCAATATTCCTTTTGACTAACAAAACCAATCCCCCAATAAAATAATTTTTCAAAACGATTGTTCCCCCTTTTAAGCGCCAGTGAACGTAGAGCAATATCATGCTCAGGAAAAACAGGTTAACATACTAGTATTTCTTCTTTGAACTCCTGGGTGCATGCCCTAGGTAAGCTCTGAATTATTGAAATACACGTTGAACCTCTCTAGTCCAGCATTCTGTGGTCTGGCAACCTCCATGGTCCAGCATGATTTTAGTTAGCTGGATGTCCACTTATCACAGGTGTCGCCAAGCTTCCCGCGGTCCCATATAATTCGTTTACAGCCAGAAGTCCTGGCTCTCAGTGTTCTGTGCTGTTATTTAGCTCTAATTCACCCTTCCATGTCTTCTAACATCCCATTAAACGGTGGCAGTGTTGGCAATGCTGCTAGACAATATTGATCTCCCGGGGTTCGGCACCAGGCCCGAGGGTGCCGGACTAAAGAGGTTCAACCCCTATATTTCACCCCATGGTCCTGTCTTGCGCTAGGACCCCATTCGGCCACACAGCACTGGCTCCAGAAACCTTCTGGGTAAAGCAGAGGCGCAGGACTCTGTGGTCTTCTGAGCCAGCCCCAAGCGAATGCCCCAGAGAGCCGCTCTCCCCTTGCCACTCTCTGGGCTGTTGCTTCCTTACACCATCCACGTAGGCACGAAACCTTCTGGGTAAAGCAGAGGCGCAGGACTCTGTGGTCTTCTGAGCCAGCCCCAAGCGAATGCCCCAGAGAGCCGCTCTCCCCTTGCCACTCTCTGGGCTGTTGCTTCCTTACACCATCCACGTAGGCACTGGGGGAGCCAGCAAGACCCACCGCTTTCCAGTAGGAGGCGGCTCTCGGCTGCCGCCTTTCAGGGGCCACGGCA